ATTTTATGAAATGACATGTTTGCGAAGTGCAAACCGCGATTTTTTAATCAAACAAAAATTTATGACATTCGAGCCGCGAGATTTCATACCTACTGAAATTATATGATATTAGAGCCGCGATATTTCAGACAAAAATAGGACTTTTCCAGACTAGGTCTACAGATGATAAGTTAAAGTTACATAATGATGAAGCCAAGGTTTCAAGGAAAATAATATGGCCTTAATGAGAAAATGATAATAATAGTGATAATTTTTAACCTAAATCTAAATTTAAAACTTGGCTGCCCGGCCTGGCGCCAGCCCACACCCCACAGATCACAGACAACATTATGACATAGGTCTACCTACTCTAACTCTGCTGTCTGCCTAGCCTACAGTCCTACCTACTCTATAGCGTAGGTATATATAGGACTCTGACAAAAATGAACTTAAGTATAGAAAACTATCGGCATTGGCAGCTTTGCCACACAGGCCCACACTATGCCCCTTGCAAAATATACTCGCGTCTCGCGGTATATATAGATCATGTATAGTACAAGATAAAGTAATCCGCGATATACAGATGATTATTTACCACTCAACTTTACACAATCAATTGCGAATGGGCGACAGACGATAATTGCTAGAGATGTTTACTCGATGAACGCAGCTGACTCTTTCCTCCAAACGTCAACAATGTGTTGACAGACATCAATCTCTAAAAGCCAGAACATTCGGATTTTTACACGCATTTTCCTTTGCTAATTTTTTCGCGGACGGACGGCCGGTTCTTGTCCTGCTGAGTGCTGTTTACAGTCGTGTTGTGCGCTTCGATACCGTACCGTAGTCCGTAGGTGACAACCGTAGGGCGTAGATGAGTCGTTATTCGTCGTCCGTTGCTGATGCACGAAGAGGTGTGGTGTGCAGCTGTGCTTTGTACCTAGTCCTTTGCTTTTGCTGCTTTGCAAAATTTATGTCCGAGAACAACCAATTTTGATCATCACGATAAACAACAACAACCCAATATTGCCAATAACAGTTTCCAACGTGGACGTGGTTGTTGTTTAATCTATCTACTAGTTCAAATAGTTTGAAATACAAAGCTCTTGGTACCTGATTCTTTAAGAGCTTTCAAACTGAGTGATAGGATGAAGCCCATCTGTTGTTTCAAATTGTAGTGTGGGCTCTGTCACGGTGTCACCCACTCACTGAATCTGGAACGTGAAGTACCTAACCACAAGCAAAATCTATTTGTTCTGTAGAATTTCATGAAACCTGAAGTTCAAACTGATAGTTGTAAAATAATTTACAATCATCATGAAACATTAAACACATAGTGGCAAAGCAGAGAGTTTTTTAGACTCTTCCTCAAGTCCATTTTTGAGTCCTATAAGTAGACCAGTAAAGTATCTTGGATACCAGAATAAGCCAGAATTATCATACATAAGAAATCTGTTGAAATCTTGAGTAAATGAGGAAATTAAAAATGAACTGTTCTAAAAAATCACTGGTTTGCCACTATGATAAAACATTAATAGGTAATTTCTTTCTGTGCAGTTTTCACCAAGAGTCCAAGACCTTAGACCAACCCCAATGGGGCCCGCCGGCCCGGGGGTTTAGAGTCTCCTTCAATTTCGAATTTAAGTCATATAAGTAGACAAGCAAAGTGGTATAATCCATGGTCAGGAAGGTGCAGCATGTACGCCGGAGGTTCGTTTTCGGATGTACGCCAGTACGCCAGGAAAGAAAGTTGCCAATATGCTTGCTAAAAACGGAAGTGTAACCCTCACCAATGCTGCATGATCGACACAGGCACATGTACTTTACGATTGATGCCTGGCGATCGTCACAAACACACGTGCTTTACGATCTATACACCTTTCCGCGAAAGGGTTAGATTAGGTTAGGTTAGGTTTGGTTAGAATTCTTCCGCAAGCTGGTACCGAAAGGAGGGGGAGCAGGGGGTAAGCATGGAGGTTTAGCCTCCAGAAGAACGGAGAGGCTGGAGAGGTAGCAGTGTACTGATAGCACTGTGGCGCAGGGCGTTCTTTATCGAAAGTGGTGAAGGGGCTAGGCTGCATGGAATAGAAATACTTTGGGGTTTAGCGTGTGGGTTACGACCATTGTTTTGGCGGCTTGCAGCTCATTGGCTTGCTGGTTTACATCCATGAAGGGATTTAGTCCCTGTGGCTTTCAGCAAGTAATCATGTTGGCTAATTTGCTCTGCAGCATGCTTGCGCACGGGGAGAAGTATGAAAATTATGCTGGTATTGGGCAATGCTGGGCTATTTCAGTCGTCCCGTAGGGTGTAGATGAGTCGTTATTCGGTGTCCGTTGCTGATGCACAAAGGGGTGTGGTGTGCAGCTGTGCTTTGTAGTCCTTTGCTTTTGCTGCTTTGCAAAATTTATGTCCGAGAACAACCAATTTTGGTTGCTGTTTAATCTATCTACTAGTTCAAATAGTTTGAACTTTGAAATACAAAGCTCTTGGTACTTGATTCTTTAAGAGCTTTCAAACTGAGTGATAGGATGAAGCCCATCTGTATGATCTGGCTTGTTTCAAATTGTAGTGTGGGCTCTGTCACCCACTCACTGAAACTGGAACTGTCCCCCACTCACTGAACTGGAAGTAACCACTAACCACAAGCAAAATCTATTTGTTCTGTTACAGAAGTGGCAAAGCAGAGAGTTTTTTAGACTCTCTTTCAAGTTCGATTTCAAGTCCTATAAGTAAACCAGAGAAGTATCATGGATACCAGCATCACCATACATAAGATATTGGCTTAAATCTTGGGTAAATGAGAAAATTAAAAAGGAACTGATTCTGAAAAATCACTGGTTTGCCACTAATACTATGCTGTAGAATTTCATGAAACCTGGAGTTCAAACTGATAGTTGTAAAGTAATTTACAATCATCATGAAACATTAATAGGTAATTTCTTTCTGTGCAGTTTTCACCAACCGGTCCAACCCCAATGGGGGCTGGGCCGCCTGTCGAGTCCCATAGTGGCAAAGCAGACTGCAGTCTTGCAGAGTGTTTTTTAGAGTCTCCTTCAATTTCAATTTTAAGTCATATAAGTAGACCAGCAAAGTATGTACCTATAATCATTTAATTATAATGGATACCACTACCAGCTCCAGCATCATCATACATAAGATATGGTATTGAATATTGATTCTTGAGTAAATCAGAAGATTAAAAATGAACTGATTCTAAAAAGTCACTGGTTTACCAGTGACTTTTCAGTGACCCGATTCTATGCTGGCGACAGGCTGCAGACGGGGGCAGTAATGGCAGGCTGCGGACTGTTGCAGCAGCGGACAGGGGCCCTTGGACTTGGAGGCTTGCTGCTGCATGAGTGCATGTTAGGATTATTAGGCAATTTCTGGGCCTTCCTTCAGGCCCAGAAATTATACCGTCAAACAGGGTAAAAAGGGACAGTTTTGAGCGTTTTTTGGTAATAACTTCTTACCATGAAACATTTCAGAAACAAGTTTAGGCTCATTTTATAGCTCTTTGCGAGGGCTATCGAATGGCATCTTAAAAAAAATTATATATGCTATTTGTAAGGTGCCAGACTCAAAATAAAACCATCCTGAATTACCCCTGGGAGCAGTATAATCTGGGACTGTGACACTTGAAATAAAACTGAATTTTAAAGTATTTTAAACATGCAGAGTGTACTTGCCTATTACAAGCAGTACTCCAAAGTCCTCCTCTTCTTTTTAGATGTAATGTAATGATGAGAAGCTCAACAAGCTTCTTTAGGGAGTGACCATTGCATTGAGTGATCTGGATGTTAGGAGTTCTGCCTAACATCCAGGGCCAGGCTGTTCTGCTCCTTAAGAAGATTTTATTTAAATTTGAATTTAAATTTTTGCCTAATTTTAAAATTTAAGTGAAAATCTTGGTGACTAACCATATATATCTTAACTGTGGCCTTTGCTAATAGAGGATCTGCTGTAAATGTGTTTTAGGGTTGTCCCTGTTTACCCCAAGGGTTGTCCCTAATTACCCCAGGGTGGTGTCCCTTATTACCCCGTCGCGCCAAAATGGCTGCCATTTTTTTTTTAATGAGATAGTCGAATTCCGTCAATTGCGTTGGCGATTTTTTAGAGATAGTAAATGTTTGATTTGTTGACTAGCTTTATACATAATAGAGAGTAAAAATGCTGAAGTTTATGCCAAGATTTTTAGTTTTGCAATATTTTGATTAGTTTAGCTGCTACAACATTTCTGCAAAAATGTGGGATGCGTGTCCCGATTTACCCCACCTGTCCCTTTTTACCCTGTTTGACAGCAGGTAAAAACATTTAGCAGGTGATTTTCTAGAATTTGAATGATAAAAACTATCTAGAAAAATAGATAGTTTTTCTTTTACACTATTTCTATTGAAGGCCAGCAACCTTAGTGCAGCTGGCAAAGTTATAACTGTAGGTATTGCTGTAGGATGTTACCCTACAGCTCTCCATGACATTTCTCCAGGCCCAGATGCTTGAGGTGTCAAGTATGCAGTAAATGTATCTTTAGAATGATAAAAACTATCTAGAAAAATAGATAGTTTTTCATTTGAACTATTTCTATTGAAGGCCAGCAACCTTAGTGCAGCTGGCAAAGTTATAACTGTAGGTATTGCTGTAGGATGTTACCCTACAGCTCTCCATGACATTTCTCCAGGCCCAGATGCTTGAGGTGTCAAGTATGCAGTAAATGTATCTTTCTACTTTTCAGGTTGATTGAATCTTCTTGTGCTGGCTTTTCTGTGTTCATTGTCACTTAATCATGTATAGGTACCTCAAATTTGTAGCGGATATTTTTCCTTTTGAGTTCATCATTCAACATTTGTGAATACAAGAAGACCTGCTAGGTCAGCCGCTAAGCTTCTGTGTCCAAAAGCCACCTGTGCAAGCTGGCTGCTTGCAAGGATAGAATGATTAGTAGCCAGTCTTATCACTTATGAAGTGGGAGCACCATATTGAAGCTACTCAAGGCTCAATCCTCTTATATACAGATTCCTTTACAGGATCATGCTGCTTGATAGAAATATTATAGAAATATGTTTGTATGAAATATGTTTGATAGAAATATGTTTGTATGTCAATTGAATTAAAATCTCTTGCATTCATTTTGCATAATTACAACAATACTTTGACTCTCAAGTTCTGTGTGTCTCTAAGTTAACAAGAGTTGTGAGTCCAAGTCATCACCAAAATATCAGTGATATTTAAAGTTTTTTAGTTTAAAAATATTAATCTAAGACTTATTTTAATTTTATTTCATACATTTCAAACTTGGTTTGTTAACTCAGGATTTTTTTTTTTCATCGAAATTGTTAATGAAACATTTCCTCCTATTCTTGGCTGTAAGGTGTCAAGCAATTATTCACTGCTGATGATGCAGCAGAATTTATTTATCTAAGCCAAAACTTTTTCAGGCATTAACTTCTCATTGATTTTTATGTGAATTGCGAGCATGTCTACAATGGAGGTGGACGAGGAACCTGTTGTGGAAAAGTCTGATGAGATTCCTTCCCAGCAAAATGAAATGAAAGGTTTGTTCTTTACTCACGTTTATGCCTAGTTCTAACTGTCAGGTCTAAAATAATTGCATAAAATAGTTCCTGATGGCCCTTATGAACATGTCCAGTAATTATATATGTCTTGTCCAAGAATCTAGTAATCTATAATTTTGCACAGAGGTTTAATTTTATCTTACTGATGTGGTTTGATAATTTATTTTCTGTGAACAGATGAGAGTAACAGTGGCCGCAGTGTGATGGCTGGAGGTATTCCTGGCAGTGTGTCCGTCTCTTTACATCCTCTGGTGCTGCTCAATGTTTCTGATCATTGGACCAGACAGCGAGCTCAGCAGTCCCAGGCTAAAGATGTTTCTCAATGCTCACAAGGTAGCCATTTTCCTGTTGAATTATCAAGCTCCCAAGAGGCATTAATGCTTATTTTGATATTTTTAATTTGACTCAAATTATTTTTATATAATTTTATTAGTGCTTTAAAATAGTTTTAACAATGTTTAAATCTTAATATAGGTAGTGTTCTCTGAAAAAAGACTTTAATTCTCTTTTGACGTTACAGTTTATGGAGCCATCATTGGCAAGCAGACTGGTAGAGAGGTCGAGATTATGAACTCCTTTGAGCTACAGTATGAAGTGGTTGATGGCTTGGTGGTTTTATCTAAAGAATATTATAGTCTCAAAGAAGAACAATGTAAGTACTGTCTACATGGTATCAAATTATTGAGCTGATGGGAATAGCGAGTGCATAGATTGTGAATTTATATTACAAATTACAAAATCTACAATGAGATTATGATAGGTTTGTTATCAAATCAATAACTTGCGTTAAAATTTGAACTTATTTCCTTGAGCTATTAATGGAAATCGATTTTTTTCCATTCGTTATTAAATATATTATTCTCTCTCCAGACAAGCAGGTGTTCAGTGACATGGACCTCTTAGGCTGGTACACCACAGGCGGCGAGGCCAACGAGAAAGACGTCAATGTTCATAAGCAGGTAACCTGCGTGATCCCTGTTCTTGTAGCGCTAATTGCACAATATGCATTTAGTTGCTATTATACTCCGTGTAATAAAAAAATTAATTATATCAATCATTCATTGAAATGTCTACGATATAATTGAAACTTTGAGGAGTACTGTGAATCGGCCGAGCTATTTTCATAAAACTTGCTGCCTGCATGTTTACTTTCTATTGAAGGTTTCTATATGCTTATAATGTATTCTTAGGTTTTAAATTTGTCGTGTATTAAAAAAAATTTACATGATCTATTTTCAGGTTTGTGAATTAGTTGAGGGGCCGCTGCTCCTGAAGCTGGACCCTTCAGGAGCTCGTGCTGGGGAACTTGGCGTTAGTGTGTTCGAGAGCGTCGTGGTGGGGGCAGGTACGACGGACTTGATGCTGGTGCAGCTCACCTACACCCTCGCCACAGAGGAGGCCGAACGCGTCGGTGTTGACCACGTCGCAAGGATGGCATCACAACAGAGTGGACAGCAGAGTAATGGTGACTATTTCTATGCTCTCACAGAATCTTGAGTGCAATTTTTGTGCTGGAGTGACATAACAAATTAAATTCTCATCAATTATGTTAGCTGGAATGTTGAGATATTTATTAGTGGCTCCAGCAAAATGGCCGTGAGGAAAATTTTTATCGGTATAAGGCATTGACCTTTCCAGTGGAACTTGTCCTACTTAAATTGAGCTGTAGTAGATTCGCAAGTTAAGTAACCTTATCACATGCAGATTTCTCGTAACTTATAACTTGAATAACTTCACCGTTATGTACATATCATCAGTACCCGTTAGATTATGTTGCACTGTGCAGTGTCGGATAACTTGCACGCGCAGTGCTCAGCTGTGCGCATGCTATTATCGCGCATCCAAGTGGTGCTGTCGTATGTGGAGGCTGTAGAACGTGGCGAGCTTCCACTCGACCAACAGCTCATGCGACAGATCCGTTCCCTCACACACCGTCTACCTCTTCTTGATAATGAGACTTTCAATGAACACTTCTTCACGGTGAGTTGTGATGCTAATCTCGTTTGTTGTTTAGGAAGAGCAGCTTTTGCTTTTAGCTTGCGTTGAAATGAACTTCGTCTTGAGGGAAGCAGAAGCACAATAGCTAAAGTAATTTTGTTTATTAAATTCGAACGGGGTTGATTCAATTTCCCGTTGCATTGTGTATTAGGAACTGTTTTAACATTATCACTATATGAATACTGCAATTAACGTGCAATCATTGAATTTAGCTGAAATGTGTTGCCTAATGCTATTCGGCAATGTCGATTTGGATCATGTTAGGTTACATGCCGGCATGGTAGATTGGATTCGATCTTAAATCTCATCCGTTCGTCAAGGCCGTTTAGTGATTACTTTTTTATTTTGCCTAGATCACGAATTGAAGACGTGCATATTTCACATTTCGCTATTATAAATAAAAGTCTAAATATTTCAGGAAAAATAAAAAATATTTCGATTACTTGATGAATTTAAGATGGATTTCATTGTAACACAATTTGAAAATTTTTGAACTAAGACTGTAACGATTGTTCGTCCTTCAACAGCAAAGTAACGACGTGGCCCTGCTGGCGTATTTGGGAGCCATCACGAAGTCGTGCAATTCCTGCAACAGGTTCCTGAACCGTTTCAACCTCTTGCACGAACGCCTTTCTCTTGGCCGCAAGATGCGGGGCTTGTTCTTCTAATCTTAACAAGTAGTACATAGAACTGTTCATAGGTTTACCAATAAATGAGTAATGAAAAGCTCTTGTTGCTTTCCCTCTTTTTTTCATATTTTAATAAGGTCAAGCGTTTTAATTATGGTGCTAAGTCCGACATATCATGTGTGGAAGTACTGAACAATCTTGGACGATAATCCGAAAAGTTAGCTGATATTTATTCAAGCAAACACTTCGAAATTTAACTTTATGCCAGCTAAAATAAATCCTGTGACTATCAAGAAGTTGGCTGTGGTTCTGCCTGTGGAGAAGCAGATGTGGGCGGCAGCAGCTCCTGGATGAGGTTGGTCATCTCTTGCATCTCCTCCTCACTGAAGCGCTCTTCAACTTCTTCTAGTATCTGCAACATTATCAACTTAGCCTCGAAATTTTAATGAAAGATGTATTATCACTCCTAATATTCCATTGGAAATTGTTAATAAAAAATCAAATCAGTTAATATACATAATTAATAATCACATAATTGGAGCTTGAAGAACTTCAGTTACATATTATTCAGTAAGTTATAAACTAAATGGATGCGGTCAAACTCGAATGTTCTACATCAGTCACTATTATTGCGTGCAAATTTTTCTAGTAGAAGTAAACTAGACTGCCCAGTTTGCTCATCTGTGAAATAATTAGAAAATTAAAAAGCATTCAACTACGATTAATACTCACAAGCTGAAGCTCGACTATAGATGTAGGGCGCAAATTTAAGATCTGAAGCTTTTCAATTTTGGTTATTTTTAGAGAACGTGTTGCTATGAGAAAATTTCTAATAACTTCGGGGCTCTGGCTGGAACAAGCAGTCCCTTGCAAGTATTTTTCGACCTGAAATGATAGAAGCAATATGTATTTCATCGCAAGACGAAACTCTGGATTACCGTATCACAATTCAGAACATTTTAGGCTAGAATTAAAATATGTTCAGATGAATGAATAGCAATGAAACTGCGATAATGTGATCGTTGCCACCGCCTATTGAAGTTGCAGTAAAACTAACTATAAATTTGACCATTAGTAATGAAGCCAAGTCCCTCCTAACGCACAATGCATTATCATTTGTAAGGTGTAATTAAGCCTTGATCGTACCTAACATTTGATCCAAATATGGAATCCTTTTAACCTAATAAGGAAAAGGTCTTGAGTGGCCAGCCCACTGAAATTGTCGAGAAAATACACACTTCACTATCTCGTTAAGACATTCAACAGAAACAATGACTTGTATAAGAGGTCGCATCCACGGTGTAGCGGTAAAATTATGCAGCATTTGAAGCCTTCAGAGTTTCTGCCAGTGGGCCCTACGGCACGTAGACGATTAAAACAATAAAAAAAAATAACTCAGGCCGGAAAGATATATTAATAAGTAGGAAAATTTCAAAACTAGGTACAATTCAGATGGATTAAAAAGCCAATTATAACTTAAGACTAGCATGATAAATTCAATGATGCTTGACACAATCATGGTAAAGAAGATCGGTTTACGTCTAGAATGCGGCTGTACCGAAGACAGGTCTGCGTGTATATATTAATCTTCAGTAGCGTTTGGAAAAGTGCGGCGGCTTGTATACTGACACGCACAACACTCCTACGCGACCACTAGATTGCCCGCTACAACGGCTGCCAGCACGAGAGACACAAGGTAAATGTCAGGGCCTCCTACCTGCCAACATTTCAGACTCACATTGATATATTACGCGCTATGTTGTACAACAAAAGAAAAAGTGCTAACAGAAATTATAAGAACTTACATCGTAGGTGATGTTGGCAAGATTGGTGCGTAATTTGCTGACTGACTTCTTACTGCCCTCACTGTCTTGGGCGCTGCGAACTTCATGCAGCACTTCCAGCACTTCGTAATTACTCAACAACGCTACGTTGCTGTTCAGTCTGCACAAATTAGAGTCAATAGGTCATCCTAACAAAATCTGCAGATGAAATTTCTACAGTGCCCTCAAGTTTATCGCAAATGTAGCAAATATTCTTAAGAGGGCTTGTCAGGTTACGAAAAACATGCACAAAACTTAAATGAAACTTTGAGACAGAGCGGTAAAGCATTTTCAAAAAAGATTCATGCAACCGATTCACTAATTTATAAGATAAATATCATCATTTCTACATGCCCATAGGTGATATTGTCAAAATAACACTCCAAGGTCCTCACACTTCCATTCCAGCGATGAAGGTTGCTGTGCAGACGAAGACCAAACACCGTCACACCTATAAATTTCCTAGAATATCTTGATACTTTAAACGCGCTATATGTAAGAATGAAATTAACAATTTTTAAGATTGAATCAAGAGGAAAACAAGCCGACCTGGAAAGTATATAACTTTGTTAGCAACTGGCAGCCTTATTTTTGCTGGATTTGAAATAGGTACCAACGAGAGCTCACATATGATGATCCGAGTTCTTAGGATAAAGCTGACACTGAACCTCCATCTTATGTGTAAGAGGTGCAATAAAACCAGCCGCACAAGCTAACAAGGACTTCGAAAATAATCATACAGGAACTATTTTATCACGCCCACACAGAAACAAACACAAATAACAACTTTAAATACGAGTTAAAAGTTTACAGAATTGCACCTATCCAATAAATTAAACACGTCCGGCTATTTTAGTTCTGTGAGTGCATTCACAAGTTCAGAGGCGGTCATGTGAAATGAGGCAGAGTAGAGAGACAAAGTAGAGACGGGAACGATGCACGGCAATAAGTATCATCACATCTCCAACCTCGAAACAGCAAACATTAGACCACATACAAATAACGCATTCAATAAATAATGGCGATCAAACGACCGACTTTAACTATAATATGACAAGTATATCATTCAACTCCTCCCTCACACAACTTCTCAGAAATCTTGTGACACCACCAAAACAAAATATCACGAGCGTCTACCTACATCAAATATCCAAAAATCGACTGCTAATAAAGAGGCTATTCTATATCGTATTAAACGATTCAATAATCACATTATCCCAGAGCCAACACATCCATGGATTTGGCTGCTGTCTTCAAATATTCTGGCTACAAGGCCCTCAAAAGTCCTAGGATCAACAGAAGTAATATTGTTTACAACTCATCCTTTGTTTCGACAAGACTACCAGCACTGCTGTCATGCGTAAGGTGCTTGAATGCCAGTAAAGCTACGTTCTTGGCTGCAATTGCACTCATTTCCATAGCACTTCCGAGCCACTCAATAGCATTGAGGTAGTACAGGCCAGGTTCAAGTTCAAACTCGGTGAAATGGGGTTCAGAAATGTTGTAGTGAGGAAACGCCCGCCAGTCAAAGACTTTAGATTCATATATTTCATCAAAAAGCAAGTTTAGTTGCTCTTCTGTGACATGTGCCGGAGAGAAAACTTTGAAAACATCAGGCATATGAGCATCTGAGCACTTCTCCACGTTCACGTCTTTTAGCAGGCCGACCGCGTTATAGAACAAATCAGGATTGACTGGGAATATTTCATCAAGAGAATCGTCTTTGGAGAGTCCAAAAGTTTCTTTGCGAAGCTTCCCTCGTACAAGCGTAGCCACAATTCTCTCGTAGCGTCCTGGGAAGTTATAGTTGTGAGTAACGTTATGGAACTTGATGTCAGTTTTGTCGTGGGTGAGTGGAGCAGCTACGATGACGGCGTCATAGGGCTGAGATCGGACGTCTGCTTGCACGTGGGCAGAGCTGTAAATATCGTTGCGGCCCTCCCGTTGTAAGCTGTCACTTGCTTCTGTGGCTTCCACTGAATCAACCTGTATACAACATTCATTTGTGAACATTTCATTTCACTAACAACTATTGTAATTATTTCCCCTCTTAAGGTTATTTAAAGAACTCATAGTAAAGAATTCAAAATATACTGTAAATTTGACCCAACACCGATTCCCAAATCTAATAAAAATCTATCAATATCGATATTACAGGATATTAAATTACAATATAATGAGAAAATCCTACATATATGCATTTAAACAAATCATTACAAATCAGAAGAACAAGGAATAATACCGTACCTGAAAAAGTGATAAAGGCAAAGAACGGCTGATGACAGTGACGTCAGTAACATGGCGGCGCAAGAGGCTGGCTCGAGCTTTGCCCAGCAGCAGCTCCGGTACCTGCTTGTTGCCGCCCTTTACGCTCCACAAGTCAGGGCTGGCTGCTGCCACTGAAATTGCTCCTGCAAAATACTTCTTTTATGATGTACTGAAACTATCATTGCCAAGTGAAAAAATTTCAGTGCCAAATTTTCTTAAGCACTTGAAATTTTCTTTCAACTTGACTAATTTTATTTGGAAAATTACAAGCTACACTTCATACTTCAACTTCTTCAAAAACTTTTACAATAGCCTTCAAATACAAAGAGTAATATTTTTTAAAGTTAAGTACTCATCAAAAAGCACCCGAATAAAATGAACTCACCCACAAATGCATGCACATCTGGAGTCTGTCCATAGTTAGCAAGAGTGACAGCCATGACAACCTCGTCTATGATGGCCTGGGAGATGCCTAACTGAAGGAGATGTTCTCGGGTGCTCATGTGCAGCATGGCAGGGAAGCTGGGACTCATAGCTTCCAGTAACTGCTCACCATTAGTAAACGCTTGTCCTTTCTTCTGAAGCTTGTAGATTCTGTGCACATAATTTGAATTAAAGTTCTCACAATAAAAACAAATTCATAGATACTTCGGATTAAAAAATGAAAAAAATTGTTATAGAACACAACACTCCCCACATTCAAAGCACATTTGGGTGGACAAAATTTGAATAGAGTTGACTAATCAAATGGAATGTGTAACTTGAAAATAAATTAGGAAAACATCAAGATCATTCAATTACTTAATTGCATGTCAACTTTGAACTCAAATTAAAAAAAAATTAAACAAGATTCATCTGATTTTCAATAAAAATGCCTCGAGTTTCAGTCGCATCTGAGCTTAAAAAATGTTTTTAATGCAACTAAAATCATCTATCAAACATGAACCTCGAATTAATGATGAAAATATTTTTCAGCAGCTTAAAATGATCATGAGATGAGTTTATTTATTTTTTTCTACCTCTCATTACTTCCTTTAGAAACGTCATTTCCAGTTTCAATAGCTAGCTAATTTTTAATTGAAGCATATAAACTGGTTATAATTGTAATGTTAATTACCAATGAACGTGCTGGACTCAAAACATATCCATTGAGAATATGATCATATTACTTGGCATTTTCTTTGCTAACACTTCTTTCAAAAATATACAAGCATTTTATATCACAAATGGAAAACAATAGAGCAAAAAAAGCTTGCCTGTTGAATTGATCAAGCATTTGCTGGTTGGCAGCACGGAGAGTGTAAATACTCCAGCCATAACGCCAGAAGAGTTTAGCCAGCGTCACCACTTGCCAGGAGCTGTCACGGAACACAAATGATGATCCATCAAAGAGGCCAGCAAGGCTGGGACACTCCATCCTTTTTTCCAACCCTGTCAATTGTAACAAGGAAATTAATTCATTTAAATTACCAGAAATAAACAAAATTTGAAAATCTCACCAACAGTATAAGCAAAATGTTAAATGTTAATAGTCTATCATCAAAATCACTCATAATGAATAATATTTTTTAATAAACTAGACTACCAAATTTTGTTTATCATAAAAGTTTAATATATTATGGTACTAGGCTGGGGTACAAGGATGGGGAACTGCCTGCTTATGAGCAGCATGCTTAAGCATTGGCTGAAGACCTACGGCACTATATAGAAGCCATATTAAATTTTGAACTTGATTTACAGTGCTCCTAATGAGACAAGGAAGTGCTGAGCTACCTAAAGTTTTGATGAAATCTCCCATGTAGGCATTGGATGGGTGGATGACGCTGCCACCCATCTCATAATAGCTGCCTCCAAGGTCAGTAGTGGCCAGACGTCCACCAACATAACCGCTCTCATACACGTCAATAAGAGCATTGCCACCTGTGAGCTCTTGCAAAAAATAAGCAGCAGCAGCTCCTCCCACGCCTCCACCAATTATTGCTGAAAAGGACCTCAATTGTAAGATATTGTGGGGGGTCAGCCCCTCTAAAGTTCAACGGTCTGGCCGTTAAAGCACCATCACATGAAACCATTATTGACAATTAAGAGTATAATTAAAGGAAGGCAGAAGCTCCATTTCATTTTCTTTTTTTTTTCTTTTTTCCATAGGAGTAGGTACACCGCATATAGGTATGTAACAAATGAACAAAAAGATCAAAGGAATGACAAGAAAAAAGATTGCCTTGCCCATACAAGCTAAACAGTTTTGGGGCAACAATTGAACAGGCAAGGAAGGCAGTACATGACTTTATTAAATGATAATGGGAAAATGACAAGCAAATGCAATGTTAACAAATTCATAATATTACCTATACTAGCTACCCATAAAAACTTCAGACAGTAGGTCACAGAAGAAATAACTTAACAAAAGCAAAATCAACATTACACTGATTAAAACCAGATAATTCTAAAAACATGTCACAACAATGAAAACCTAATTAATAACAACATCAAATTAATATTGAGCTGGTATAAAAGCATGAAATTTTGTTTTCCAAAAGAATTTAGAGCAATCTTTTAGAAATCATCCAGCAACTTGTTAAATTAATGTACCTATAGAAAATTGAAAACTGTAGCGTGTTTTTCTATTTCCAAGCAAACAGACAGTAAATTAAAGCATTTGCCTCCTGAGATTATGAGAATGGTGCGAAAAAAGAGGGACAAAGGCAGATTAAAAGAATGTTTGTGAATTTTAAAAGCTGAAATTGGTACATCTCCATTTTTAATATATTTGGCTGCCTATATAATTTGTTGGTACGAGATGTAATCAGGATATTGTTAATATAGTTAACACTAAGGATTGATTGCAGCGACTTGTCAATTAACATGACAAATGTTTTTTTTTTTTTTCAAGAGATACACCACCAAAAATATTACTAATGTGTTTGAAAGTATAGATAAATACATTTAATAAAAAGCATTTTCAATGAAAAGGAAGGTAAGACAATGGATAGAGCATATAGCACCCATGGGCTTTACTGAGACCCTGATAAATGCAGGTAATGTGTTTTTTAAAGAAATATTGTTGTCCAGGATTAAGCCCAGATACCAAAAATAATCACTATATTTACACTACAATATAATGAAGTTGAAATTTTCATCAGCCAGCAATCTATATGCCATAGGCATTCATTAAGCAGAATAGATCATTTCTTTCTAAGGCCGGCCACAAACGTGCTGTGGCAATATTAGAGGCATAAAGCATTGATGGTAATAGTACTAAATAAAGATTCCTCAACACAAGTAAATGAATTTGCCATATTTTCAAAAGGTCAGCATTCCAGTAATATTTTTTAATTATTGAATTAGAATATCAGGGATAAAAATTAGAATATCAGGGATAAATTTGAAGAACAATAAATTAATGTAATTTGTGATGGGTTAGGATTTTCCAGCTCCAGAACTATTTGATAATAGGTCAACTCGCAATTGTAGATACTGTCATTCAATATCTATCAATATGTATGCTTTTACCATATATGTAACACAGAAGTTCAATTTCACAGTTGGATGTGTTGAATGAATGTCAAATACAATCTTCCAAGCAAATCTGGAAGTGTAATGAAATTGTAAAATGGTGGGAAAAAGTGCATTTTTCTTATATTTTAACAAAATATCAGGCATGGGCCATAGAAACAGGTAAAATTGGCACTAAGCACTGGCTGTTTTGACTCGTTTGCAGTTGGCTTTTTAGCCTTCTGCACAATTTCTAGAATTGCTGCCAGATAAGTTTTGCTTAAATTTTAAACATAAAAGGCAAGTAATGTTCAGGTTTTCCATCTTTAATAAGAAATAGTGAGCTTTGTGAGTCTATATATCACTAAATTTTGATTTTAGATTATTTTGGGCCCATGTGAGAGCCAGAAGAATGGCAGAGAGTTCTGATTCTAGAACCTGTATCTCTGGACAGAGCTTCCAGTTGAGACACAGTCCCCTAGATGGAATAACCACAGGAGCAGATGCTTAACAGCTGGTTCTTCTACTCACTACCCATTTGTATAAGCAGCAATGCAGTCAGTATACTTAGTTCAGGAAAGATCATGAAACAGTTGAGTGATGGCAGCAGGTGGGACAGATGACTTTGGGACAGTGTTAAAGTTGGTGGAAATATTGTAGTTGACATTGAACCATAAAGGCATTAGAAAAAAATCAAAAGGGAGGCTGCAAAACATGGACATGAGAGGATAATGCAGTTGAGCTGGTTCTGGTATGTGGGTTGATGGAGCAGTGTGTATTCTCTGGGCATTCTGGCAGTAACATATGCCTGGCAAGAAGCTCATTAGTTCCAGAGCACTCGGGTAGTAGTTGTTGTAATGTGGCATGGTATTTGCAAACTAATTGGTCTCTATGTATGTATTTCAAGATGTGGTATATTGGTTTACATTTTTAAGGAAATGGTTGGAGTAGTTTTTTGTCATCCAATAGAAATTATGAGGCTGCAGTTTTAAAGAGCATTTAGTTTGGATAAGCGTGATTCAGCAGAGGATGCATAGAAGGGAGAGGCATACCCAGTCAAGTTTGCTATGAAGGAGGAATTTATATAGCTGTAAGAGAGTTAGGCAATCAGCACCCCAATGCCTATTGGGTATGGATTTCAGAAGATTGAGGATTGCCAAGTATGATGTTCTCAACATCTCAATGCGATTCTTCCATTTGAGGCAAGGTGCATCAAGTACAATGCCAAGTTATTTGTGTTGCTGAACAAATTCCAGGTTATGTCCTCTTGCTTGGATGGGGAGAGGGTGGACTTCCCTGGTGGTGAAACATATCATTTTGGTTTCGTCTAATTTAACTTTAGGTCCCAACTGAGTGTCCATTTAACAAATAAGTTTATTTGGTCCTAAAGTTGATTGATGGCTGTTTGGATGTTTAAGTCACTCACAAAAAATGTTATGCCATCTGCATATTCAGCGGCTGAGACTCTAGGACTAGTGGGCATATTGCTCATCATAACATTGAACAATGTAGAAGAAAGTATTGCTCCCTGGGGCACCCCACACCCCAGATTTGATCAGTCTACAGGAAGAGTACTCTCCTTTAACACGTTGACTACGTATTGGTACAAATGTGTACCACAAAATGTATTTCTCCAGGAGGTAGTGGTACATAATTCAGGTTGCCTAAAATCGGCCAAATCCGAGAACACATAAGGCCAAAAAAGGCCGATAACTCAATATATACTAGTTTATTTGTAGGTTCCGCTATAAAAATTCCATTAATTTTCTTTTTTTGCAGTATTTAAAATTTAATTAGGAAGTACCCCTATCATTAATTTTAGCCAGCTAATGCAATTGAGAAAAACTAAAGCACGGAATTTGTCCGGAAAAAATGACCGTCCGGCAACCCTGCTTAAAAAAAGTAAAAAAATGAAATAATAGTACAAGATGAAGCAATCGTAGTCAACGTGTTAAAGAACATTTGAATGTCCTTCCACTCAGGTAGGTATAAAACCACATTAAAAGGGAGCCACAAGTCAGAAGTTGATTCCCACCACCATGTCATTAAAAGAGTTAGAGGGAGTTTTAATTGAAGAATGAATTAAATTACTTTAGAAACTATTCACCAAATTTGTATAAATCAATACCTCGGAGAATTATGGCTGTAATTGCCATAAAAGGTTGACCTACACGTTTGAGGTAGGGCATTCATTAGTAATTGTGTCAAGCAGAATTACTATACTCAATACTGTCTTCCCCTTCAGTAGTCTGGTTTTGGCTTGAATCATTAATTTTTTACTTAGATCTATTTTTTGGCCAATAACAAGTTCAACAACTACAGAATCCACTGCCAAGACTTCCTCCTACTCCAAAAAGAGCTTCAAGTCTTGCAATCTTGATTAGGTTGAAAACCTAAAGTTGGTCCTGTTTTTACTTTTGATAGTCTATTACTATTAGTACCAATAGCACCATTTCTCAAGAGAACATCTCAATCCCACACTCAAGACTGATGCGGCTGCTTTCTTCCGAACCATATATAGCACATAACGATAAAGGTCCATCATTTTGAATTGGAGAAGCAGAAGTTGACAATTTTTAATTACTCTCAAACATAGTGGCCATTGCCTCTAAGCCAGATATTTCTTTAATCTTTAGAATGAGTTCATTTATAATTTCCCATCTATTCAATGTTTTAATCAATTTCTTATGTGTGATAATGCTGGTATTCAAGATATGTAATCATGATCAACTTGATGCAGTTACTGGTCTACACCAGGGCTAGAAAAGTCCTATTTTTTCTGAAATATTGCGGCTCTAATATCATATAATTTCAGAAGGTATGAAATCTTGTGGCTCTTATGTCATAAATTATTGTTTGATTGAAAAAATTGTGGTTTGCCTTTGCAAACATTATGTTTAATAAAATTTTCAACTTCTGCAATCCACAGTCTATATACTTCAATGTTCCCACCTACCACCAAAATAACATGCAGAACGTGATAACAAGTCAACTCAAAACATTTCCTCCATGAAGATTGTGTAGTTGCAGTTACATCAAAATGTTCATACTGCATTATCACATGTACAGTTGCTGCTTAAGTGAAGACAAATGCTACTAACTGTTTTTGTATGGGACTTTGTAAATAACAAGGGACTTTGTATGCATGGGAGTGATGGGACTCAGTGAATAACAAGTTTGCAGGTCATAAATGGCTTTTCATGGCCAAGATATGGAATTCACGGCTCAAAGAAATGGAATTATGGCTGGCAAACCCATGAAGCCACGGCTCAAAAAATCTAGTCATGGCTCCTGGCAGGGTTGGCAATGATTAAGTAAGTAAAGTAATTAAATCATGTGATTAAATCACTTGATTTTTTTACAAAAAATCTTGATTTTTTTTTATTTTTTGATTTTTTTTATTTTTCATATATTTAAATATATTGAGTGGCAGTCCTTAATTTATATTGAGGTACGGTATTGTTATTCATAGTTTAGTATAAATGTACTATGAATGACAAATTGGTATATAAACTTTAGTGTGTATTAGG